TCAACCATCATTCTCTTCCCTCCATCAAATAATGCTTAAAATCCCAAATCTTCACCTTGCTCAAAAACCTCCGATACTCCTTTGTCCTGTTCTTTTAGAGTTTTCGCAGTTAATGCTAATTTTCAGATATCTAAGGGGCTTGTTCGTAATTTTTGGACCTTAAAGGGGATCGGTTGAATTCTTTCCGTGGTGTTGTTAGCAATTTTAAGATTTGTTGGGGTTGTTTGTAATTTTTGAATCTTAAAGGATTGTTTGCATTTTTTAAATTGTCGGGAGTTATTTACAATTTTATTTTACATAGGTTGTTTGTAATTTTCAGCTCTTCATGGGGCTTTGCAGTCTTCAAATATTTTGGGGTTGGTTTATAATTTTATTTTTTAGGGGCAGATTGTAATTTTTGGATCTCAAGGGCATTGTTGTAATAGTCAGATTTTAAGCAGGTTATGTATAACTTCTAGATTTTTCAGAGGTTATATAATTTTTAGATTTTAAAGTGGGGTTGTTTATAATTTTCAAATTTAAAGATGTCTTCTACGATTTTAGATTTTTAGGGGTTTTTTGCAATAATTTTTAATGGATTTATAAGAATTTAAGATTTTTTAGAGATCTTTTGTATTATTATTTTTGAGAGGGTTGTTTGTAGTTTTCTTACTTTTTTTTGCAGTTTTAAATTTGATTTAGTTGGTGCTTTGTAAGACATCTCCAACAGCTTCTCCAAAATTTTTTTCAAAATGGGGAAGCAAAAGTCATATTCTCCAAATTATTTTTACACCAACTCCAACAGCTTCCCCATTTTGGAAGCAAAAGTCATATTCTCCAAATTATTTTTACACCAACTCCAACAGCTTCCCCATTTTGAAGAATCCCTTTTTTCCTCCAAAAATTTGGAGAATGCTGCAGATTTGGGGAAGCTTCACCATTTTTTCTCCTACATCCCTATTTTGGGGAATGAGATGGGGAATCTGTTGGACCAAAAACCTAACTAAATTATCCAAAAGTAGAAAATGGAAAAGCTGTTGGAGATGCTCGTGTCACATATGTGTTAGTGGGCTCTAAGTAATTCAGGTCTTTTGTGTAATTTTAAGAATTTGTTAAGGCAGAAAAAAAAACCGCCTCTTTTTCTTACCATTATTGTCCTTGAGGATATTTTTGTCATGTAAAATTATGAGATGACACCATTCTGGGAGTTGTTGCAGAAAAATGAAAACTTTTTTTTTTGAGGTTTACTAAAATTCTAAAATTCTTGGAGGTTTAATGAGAGTTTTAAAACGTTTTAGAGGTTCATCACAAAACACCAAACTTATTGAGATTTTTTTTAAACTAAGGCTAATAATAAATCACTAATCCTTACTCTCTCTCTCTCTCCCTCCCTCCCTCCCTCTCTCTCTATATATATACTAGTATTTAGACCCGTGCAAAACACGGTTTCTAAAAGATTTTCTGTAAATATTGAACATGTTACCAAAACAAAGTACTCTTCTTTAGATATGAAGTATAGGGGTGGAAGTGAACCGAATAATTAATTAACAGTTTGGTTATTATTCGTCCAGATATTCGCATAAGTTTATTTCGATAGTTCATTTAGTACTAAACAACTTTATTATTCATTGCTTAACAATTTATTTTCTTACAAAATGATGTCTCATTATTCCTGAGGCAAACACCCCAGCACAGCAAAAAGCAAAACATACATACAACAACTACAACAAAGACTTTATCCCATAATTTTGGGGATAAGAACACAATTATACATTGATAAAAATCTTTGATACATTGATCAAGTGAATGTTCAAATGCACATTATACACAACTTTATTATGTCATCTAAAAATCTTGCCAACATCACTATCATCTTGCATTGAAGTCAAAGTATGGAGTGCAAGTAGTAACCACGTGAATGCATCTATTGAAATAATTCATGTTAGCTTATCTTTAATCCATAATACTTTCATATCATCCACAATTCCAGCAAAATCCTTGTAAAGTATGGCAAACTCTGCAAAAACTAATATCTATAATGTGCATAGATGTATACAGATGTAATGATACAAATATAAATTTTAAAAAAATGCATTAATTGGACACGCTGCAAAACTAATCTCACTATATTCATATTGTTCTAACCTTCTAAAGTACATCATAACAACTGAGCCTAGCTAAGCTATGAATCCATGATAAGTCTATGATATGCAAAGGTAATACATGAATCATCAATTGTTTAAAATTTAAAGGAGAAGAATGCTTCTCGTTCAAAATTTGGAAAAAGTAAGCAGCACATAAGCTTGGTACACTTATGGCGTTTCAACACAATGTTACTGCCCTTTGAGATTTTTATTGAAGCTTTGCGCTGTCGTAATCAAACACAAAATCACAAAACCATGAACCAATAGTAATTTTTACTTTCGAGATAGGAGAGTAATAGAAATCACTTATTTATATTATCTTGTCACAGTTCTCTTTGACCTTATGATAGGGATCAAGAACATAACATGGTAGATTTATCTATATAGGAAGCTAAAATATTAATGAATACAAAACGAAAGTATATCCACAATTAGGTAAAATGCAATAAAAGCTGAAAAAAGTTGAAACTTTTCTGCTATCAATAAATCTAAGCTATACATTAAATAGAAAGCTAAGATGATAGGCAAAGTATCAATTTTATTTACTGTTCATATGGAGGAGGCGCAAGAGATATCCTTGTGCACGCTTTTTCCAGTAGCAATTCACTCAACAACAAATATAGTACCTTGAAGATGAAGTGAAACTGACATCAATTCAATGATAATAAATATATGTTATAATCATGTTAAGTATATAAAATATATCATGTAGAACTTATATCGCATGTTACTTTTAGGAAAATAAAGCTTCAGATATGTAGCAAAAGGTTATATGCATACTCAGATGCTGAAATTAAAAAAAAATGTTTGCTTACTTTGATGGAAAACTTGAAGGCCTGTTGCATTTGGACTTTGGGCAAGCAAGTCCGCACCATATCTTATAAACTAAAACGTACCTTTGTCATAGTGTCACACTCAAAATTGCTTGTAAGATGAAGAATGTGATGCTATAGCAACTTGTATAGTGATGAGTGATGAAAGAACGTCAAAGTTGTGTGATACTAATTAGAAATAACAGTTTTTTTATAAATAGAAAGAATAGTTTGCATGATATATTAATATTAAGGACATGGAAATTTTGTAGAAATATTTTCTTGGCAAATACTGTTCAGGTAAACCAGAAGACTCTTAACATGTTAGGATCACTTATCAATGAAGATAAAAAAAACATAAAGGGTAGCAGAAATCACACACATCCAATCAACTACAAAAACAGGAAAATAAAGCTTCAGGTGTGTAGCAAAAGGGTAGATGCAATCTCCACTATTTTATCAAAATTCTGCAAAAATATTTTTTTTTGTTGAAATGGCAAAAGAAAGGGAATTCCATTTACTCCATTACATTTCACAGATCCTCTAAGCTTTTACAATAATTCTCGTATAAACGCCAAAAATAAAAGTGATTCGAAGTAAAAGATGCGATTATTATTATCTGTTTATTAGTAACAATCTCTTAAATAGTGTTGTAGCCTGACCCTTGTTAGTCCACACTCTGAGACAAACTGAGGTTTCATGTCGATTTTTATTTTATTCAAACTAAAACTTCCCACAACATCTCTGTTTGGTTCAAATTATCAACTCATATCGCGACTGTTGAATTAAGTTATACTACAAAGATAATGCATATGGTAGGCCAGAAGCCCTGATCCACATCAACCACCAATCCTAGATATTAACAGTTCAAATAATTAAAAAAAATATCCAATTTCGAAAATACAAAATAAAATACATTAAATTAAAATATCTTGAGAAAGCCATTGCTCCCTCCTCGCATCAAGCTTACACTGCTTCAACTTCGCCGACCTATTCGCCTACAAACGCCCAAACAAACAATAAATCCTCAAAAAATCCAAAAAAATGCCCTAAAATTTGATTTTTGAATTCGAACCGAGAGCTTACCCTCTTCTTCTTACTGGTTTCCCTCGCAGCCGCGGAAACCACTGGAGCGTCGTTGGCCATGGCGTCGAATCCCATCTCCATAGAAAACCCTATGGAGAGAGAAAGAGAGAGAGAGAGGAAAAGAAGGGGGATTTGGACAAGAGAGGGAGGGGAGAGAAGAGAGAGAGAACTGGATAACGAAAGGTGGGGGGGGGATTTCGGTTTCGTTTCTTCCGCTTCATGCTCTGTAATAAAATTTTTATAGACATAGAGAGAGAAAGAGGAAACCTTATCAATATCGGGATCGCTGACGAGGAGAGCCTCAAGGGAATTCGAGAGGACGATCCTCCTGTACTCGTGCTTGTCGATGCGAGGCTTGAAGATCTCGACGTCCGTCGCTGATTTGCCCACATCCATTTTTCTGCTGCTGGGTTCAGTTTGTGAGGATCAAAGGGATCGTCCTTTCGAGCGAGAATGTCGAGGATTTTAAGAACTCGATCGAGACCGAGGAGTGAGATGACAGCGGAGGTTTAGGAGGAAGTTATTTAGGGGGAATTGGGAAAAGGAGATGGAGAAAAATAAAGAGAGATGGAGAGAGTTGTGTAGAGAGAAGATACTAATTAGTTTTGGACAGTTCTTCTCCGGTTTAAGGGGAACGATAACTG